ATGTCAGCGGTGGGCCACGTGGACCCCTCTGAGCATTCTGAATCTGTTCCATCTCCCAGCGTCTGATGTCTGGTGGCTCCCAGAATTCCTTGTACTGTTCGGCTCGTGGACTGACCACTCGGCTCTCTCCTCTATTTCCATCCTGTCTCCATGTCTGTGCCTCTCTTCTTGTGTGGCCACTACTCAGAGGGGCCTGAGATGCATGACCTCTTGTTAAACAATCAGACTCTCCAAGACATACTTTCTTACAAGGTCCTGTTCACGGGCACCAGGGGCTAGGATCTCAACATAGCCTTTTGGGATCACAATTCAACCCAGAACAGTAATATGCTATGTTGTCATTGTGAGGTGTCCTCGAGTCAGTACCAACTCATAGTGACCCCATGCATGACAGAAGGAAACACTAGCCGGTCCTGCGTCAACCTCACAGTCATTGTGACGCTTGAGCCCAATGCTGCTGCCACTGTGCAGTGTGTGTCTTTGGGGTCTTCCTCTTTTTCACTGACTGTAATATGCTGTGTTGTTGTTGTTGTTAGGTGTCGTTGAGTGGGTTCTGACTCATAGCGACCTTGTATAGGGTTTCTGAGGAGCAACTGGTGAGTTTGAACTGCTGTCCTTGTGGTTCAGTGCTTAGCCCACAGAGCCACACCAGGACTCCATAGACTATGTTATCGTCTGTGGTTAAGTGACTCCACTCCTCCCATATGATGTAAATGCCATTGTGTCCTATACTCACCCATGTGGGCCCTCCCTGCTTCTTGGCCTCAGCTGAATCTCACACCGCCCCCCTACAGGCTTCTCATGGTTCTGCTCTGCACCTTCCCTCTTCCATGCCCCTTCCTCGTGCCCCCTGCTGATGTTGCTCCAGCCCCCTCCCCACTTAAACTGCCTGCTTGCTCCTTCTCCTAGACTGTCCCCTTCCCAGCTGAGGGACTCTTGAAGTCCTACTTCCTTCCCTCAGGGACCTTCTCAGACCTCTCCGTCTTCAGTGAAGTCTCCCTCCTCTGGTATTTAACCTTTCTTGCTGTTGTTGTTGTTAAGTAGTGTTGAGTTAGTTCCAATTCATGGCGATCCTATTAGAACTGAAAATACTGGTGTAGATCACAGCCTTCAGTACGGGTTGCACTTCAATGTAAAAAAAAAACACAAAACTCCTCACCACTGTACCAATAAATAGCATCATGACAGATGAAGAAAAGATTGAAGTTGTCAAAAACTTCATTTTGCTTGGATCCTTAATCAACACTCATGGAAACAGCAGTCAAGAAATCAAATGATGCATGGCATTAGGCAAATCTACTGCACAAGACCTCTTTAAAGTGTTAAAGAGCAAAGATGTCAGCTTGAGGACTAAGGTGTGCCTGACCCAAGCCATGGTATTTTCAATAGCTTCATATGCATGTGAAATTTAGGCAATGAATAAAGAAGTCTATAGAAGAACTGATGCATTTGAGGGATGGTGTTGGAGAAGACTAATAAAAGTTCCATGGACTGCTAGAATAATAAATCCATCTGTTCTGGAAGAAGTACAGCCAGAATGCTCCATAGATGCCAAGATGGTCAGCCTTCATCTCTCATACTTTGGACATGTTATTGAGAGGGACCAGCTCCTGGAGAATGACATTGGTGTTGTGGTTGTGTGCCGTGGAGTCGGTTCTGACTCATAGTGACCCTGTACAGGGTTCCCTAGGCTGTCAATCTTTATGGAGTATGCTTGGTAAAATGAAGGGTCAGAGAAGAAGAGGAAGCCCCCCAACTAGACGGATTGGCACAGTAGCAGCAGCAATGGGGTCAAGTGTAACTAAGATTGTAAGGCTGGTGCAGGACCGGGCGGTGTTTTATACTGTTATACATCAGGTTGCTATGAGTCAGAATGGACTCAGCAGTACCTAATAATAACAACAAGGAGCCCTGCTAGTTCTGTAATTGTTAACCACAAGGTTGGCAGTTCAAACCCACTAGCCACACCTTGGAAAACCTTTACAGGGTCGCTACAAGTCCGAACCAAGTCGAAGACACTTAACACCAACAACAGTGATAAGTTAGGAACACTGGAAGCAATGCAGGGTAAGTACTGGAATGCTAACCTCAAAGTTGGCAGTTCAAACCCACCAGCCGCTTTGCTGGAGAAAGATGAGGCTTTCTTCTTCTGTAAAAAGCTGACAACCTCAGAAACCCCATATGGGGTCGCTATGAGTCAGAACCAAGTTGGTGGCACTTAGCAACAATAAGAAGTTAAACCCTCACATGATTTAGGAATGTAAGGTTTGAATTTACGTGAGCACATGATCCCTTTAAATGCAGTGTAAACGTCTGAAACCTCACCAAGGAAGAGTCAATGTGTCAGCAGCTGGGAACCATGAGCCAGAAGTGCTGCCAACTTCAGCATTCAAAGACTTTTGCCACCAAACAGGGAATGAAAGTGTTCCATGAGGGGAAACCAGTCTCGTGGGTGAGAAGTGGTACTTGGCTGTGGTTATCACTTGCATTTCCTAAATGATGCTGAACCTCTTCTTTGTGGTTTTCGTGTTGAATTATGGGTTCCAATTTTTGGCCTGCTATATGGGTTGAGTTCTTTAACTCAGTAATATTGAGTTTTAATATTGGTCAAATATGAGTTTACAAAAAAATTTCACATTCGATGACCTGATTTTTCATTTCCTTTGGGTGTCTTTGAAAGAGCAGGGTTTTTTTTACTTCTGATGAAGTACAGCTTACCAATGTTATTTCTTCTACATTTCATGTTTTTTACTATTTATATAAGACATTTCTTCTGCTCTCCAGGACCTTGATCCTTCTTTTCATGTAGTCGTTGCCCATTCTGAGTTCATGTTTGCATATGGCATAAAACAAGGGACAAGGTCCAACTTTCTGTGAGTGAAGATTCAGTTTAATTGGAAAGATGGCTCTTCCCCCATGAAATTGCCTTGGTGCTTTAGTGACCCTTGACGTGTGGGTCTGTTGCTGGGCTTTGTGTCCTGATTCACTGATGGCTGCCCCTTACCCAACCACACGGCATGCCCGCAGTAACTTTGTGGTCAGTCTTGAAATCGGGGAATGTGAATCCTCCAACTTTGTTCCCTTTTTGATAATTTTATGGCAATTTTGTTGTTGTTGTTAAGTGCTGTCAAGTTGGTTCTGACTCATAGAGAACCTGGGTAGGGTTTCCAAGAAGCAGCTAGTGGGTTTGAACTGCTGACCTTGTGGTTCTTAAGTTCCTTAAATTTCCATATGTATTTTAAAATAAGTTCACAAAAATTTCTATGAGATGCCTTGTCAGAAGTTTGATTTAGATTACATAATATCTACAGACCAGTTTGGGGAGAACGGCCATTTTAGCAGTATTGAGTCTTTTAATGTTGAACTTGATCCCTTCCATTAATTGGGATTCTCTGAATTCCGATCAACCGATTCCTGGGGTGGCACTGTGGGCTAATGCCCTGGACTGCAAAGTCAGTTTGAATCACAAGGGTGGTGGATCAAGCTCACCAGTCGCTCCTGGGAACCCCATACAGGGTTGTTACGGGTTGGAAGAGACTCGACGATACTTAACAACAACTCCTAGCCACAGCGTTTGGAATTTTCATCTTATACATCTTGCATGTATTTTGTTAGCTGTTTCTATAAGTATTTCATTTCATGCTTTTTGATGCTATTATCATTTTTTTCTTGTTTTCGGTTTCAATTTCCAATGATTTGGTGCTAGCGTCTAGAACTGTGTGTATGTGGTTGTTGTTGGATCTGATCCTGGCGACCTTGAGGATAACAGAATGAAAGCTTGCCTGACCCTGCACAGTCTGTCTTCATGGATGCTGTACGTAGTCCATCGCTGTGGCTCTTGTGTTAATCTCTCTTATTGGGGTCTCCCTCATTTTCACTGACCCTCTACTTTACCAAACATGATGTGTTTTTCTAGCAACTGGCCCCTTCGGATGACATGTCCAAACTAAGCAAGTCCAAGTTGGACTGTCTTGCTTCTGGTGAGCGTTCTGGGTGTATTCCTCCAAAGACTGATTCACTTGCTTTTCTGTCAGTCTGTGGTTTATTCGGCATTCTTTGCCAACATCACAGTTTGAATGCACCATTTCTCCTTTTGTCTTCCTTTCTCGCTGCCCAGTTTTCATGTGCAGTATGAGGTAAATGAAAAGACCAGGACTTGGGCCTTCAAAGTGGCATCTTTGCTTTTTAAAATTTTAAAACTTTAAAGGGTTCTCTTGGAACAAATTTGTCCAATGCAATATGTTGTTTGATCTTCTGACCACTCCTTCCATGAAGTGTGGGTATATCAATAGATCTGATATCCTTCAATCTAATAGCTTTTTCTGTAGATTATTTTGAATTTTCTGGATAGGTGGTCGTGTCTTCTATTAATAAAGACATTTGCTTCTCCCACCCACTTTTCTTTTCTGACTTTGTTGCAATGGATGGTCCCTTCAGTACAATGTTAATAAAAATGTTGAAAGTGGATATCACTGTCTTGCTCTTAGAAAATATTTAGATTTTAATCATTAAGCATGAGAAAACATCTGTGAAAGCTTTCCATAGAAGGACTTTATCATGTGGAAGAAGTCTCTATTTTTAATGTTGAATTTGTCAAATGCTTTTCCTGCTTCTATAGAGGTGACAGTGTGGATTGATTTATAATATTGATATAATAGTACATATTATTGTTATTCCCTATATAGTGACCCTGTATAGGATTTCCAAAGAGCAACTGGTGAACCACTGACTTACAAGGTTCAAACGGACCATGCCAGGACTCTGTACTTATTATGCATTTATGTTTCATAGTCAATAGAGAAAACATTATATTATATGCAATACGTAACATCCACCTCATTGAACAGACACATACACACTCATGGTAACAGTGATTGTGAGTGGGTGCAGGACAGGGCAGTGTTTCATTCTGTTGTGCATCGGTTGTGGGAACCGACTCCACAGCATCTAAAGCTTCCCTTTAATACGGTATTAAAACACTGTGACGTGTTAGCACCGGAATGGACAGCTCCGTGCTCTTCCAGCCCCACTGCCTTTCTGCCTTTGACAGGTGAGCTCCTACCTGAGCTCTTAGGAGGAAATATTTGTTTTCCATTTCTGACAGACTTCAGCCTTACACATATTTTGGCTTTCACAGGTTTTAGATATAAAATTATTTACTATAATTTTTCATCTTGGATCTGTATTTAACAGTGACTGTGCTTAAAGGCTGAGCCAACACTCTGTTCCCATGATAAACCCCATTGCTCTTTTTACAAATTGCTGGATTTAGGGTTTTACTGAGGATTTGTACAAACATGCTCATGAAGGATGTTGGTTGATAACTTCATGTTAAGCATTCCTCTTTTTGCATCTTGATATCTGACCAATACCAACACTATGAAATGAGTTAGAGAGAGTATTTGTAGATTTCTAATTTTGGGGAGAGTATTTGTAGATTTCTAATTTTGTGGAGAGTATTTGTAGATTTCTAATTTTGGGGAGAGTATTTGTAGATTTCTAATTTTGGGGAGAGTATTTGTAGAAAAGCTATTCTTTCTTCCTTCAGTTTTGGTACCATTTTGCTAACGGAGTCATCATGCCTGGTGATTTCTTTGAGGTATGTTTTTTGTTTTTGTTTTTGATTTTATTTGATTTTTAGATAGAGAGCTTTTTGAGTTATCTGTGAGTTTTTTTCCCTGAGCTCTGTTGCCCAAGTGGCTAGGTACTCGGCTGCTGACTGAAAGGTCAGCGGTCGGAGCCCCATCAGCCAGGGGAGAAAGATGTGTGGTCTATGTCTGTGGAGACTGACCGCCTTGGACACCCTGTGGGGCAGGTCTACTCGGTCCTGTAGAGTCGCTGTGAGTCAGAACCACTGCAATGAGAGTGGGTTTCATTTTTTGACATTTTAACTTCTTTTTAAGTAAGCTGCAGAAGTTTAGTTCTTTCAGGAATTTATCCATTTATCGAAGGTGCCAAATGGATCATCATGTAGTTGTTAGCAGTTCTTTGCTTGTTAACGTCTGTAGGTTTGTAGTGATGTCCCCTTTTCGTTCTTGATTTTGGAATTAATGTTTCATGTTTCCTGCTTAGTCTGACTCTTCTTAAAGAACCAGCTATTTGTTTCATTTTGATTTTTCGCCGTTATTTGTCCATTGTCTGAATTGTTCCTTTCAGTTCTTATATAAGTGACTCTATAAGTCAGAACCTGCTTGACGGCATTTAACAACAACAATAACCTCTGTTTTCAGTCACAACCTGCAAATTAATACCGTTTTCACTTGCATCCGTTGAAAACATTTCTAATTTGCATTGTTGTTTCTTCTATGACCCCACTGGTTATTCACAACGTTGTTAGTCTGCTTGGCTCACAGTAACCCTACGCACAATACAACGATACACTGCCCAGACCTGGGCCGTCTTCATATCTGAGCCCATTGCTGCCTTCACTCTGCCAATCCATTTTGTTTGGAGGGTCTCCCTCTTTCTTGCTGACCCTCCACTTTACCAAGCATGATGTCCTCCTCCAGGGACTGGTCTCTCCTGACAACATGTCCGAAGTACGAGAGACAAAATCTCAATATCCTTGATTCTAAGAAGCACTCTGGCTGCACTGCTTCCAACACAGGTATGTTTGTCCTCTGGCAGGCCATGGTACTTTCGGTGTTCTCCTTCAACAGGGCTTTCATTTACCTTCTTACTGTTTGTGGATTTCTCACATGACCCCCAACTTGCTTACTGTTCCTAGTTTGTTCCATTGTGATAGGAGGGCAGACTCAGCACTCTGCCAACCCTTTCAGTGCTGTGAGACCCAGTGTATGTTCTGTGTGGATGTAAACAGAATACATGTTAGGTTGGTTCTGGATGAAATGGTCTGCAAATATCAGTTAGGTTGGTTCACTGTGTTGTTCAAGATCAAAAGACTTTGACTGGACTTCTTTCTACTTGTTCTATGAATTACCGAGAGGAGAGTGTTGAATTGTTAACTTCAGTGACCTATTTGTCTAGTTCTTGCAGTTTTATCAGTTTCTTTAACTTTGTTGTTGTTGTGACATACCATCGAGTCAGTTCCGACCCATTGCAAGCCTCTATAGGGTTTCCAAGGAGCAACTGGTGAGCTTGAACCTTGTGGTTCAATCCGACTTTGCAGTCCAGTGCATCAGCCCAGAGCATTGCTCTAGGATTCCAGCGCTTTTACTTTGCAGCTGTGCTATCAGGCACCTAAACCGTCAGCTCTTTATGGCCGCATGATGGATCGATCAACAGAGGGGCCCAGATACCGTCATTTGTACCACACTGTCCGGTGACCCATTGGTGTTCTGTGCACTGTCGCTTAATTTTGTCTCTTTGTTTGTATGGCGACCTCAGCAAGATCACAGATTTATATTTTCCCTTTCAATGTCTAATCTGATGTTAGTTCAGCCAGTGTACTTCTCATCTGGTTTGCTCTGTCTCTCATCTGTGGAAGCTTTATTTGTGTGTGTGCGCATATCTTTCATTATGCCCCCATTGTGTTCCCTTTACTTTCTTGAATGCTTGCCTTAGGTTGTAGTCGCTATTTGAACATCTCTGTCCTGTAATTCTCATCTCTGTCATCGTTCTACCTCTTTGTGTACATGAAGGGTTATATTTTCCTGTTCCTTGAAGGGCCCAGTAAATTTCATTTGAATGCCCAATACTGTAATGTCTACTTGTTGCATGAAAATGTGAGTGCTGGTCAAAACCTGCTATCTTGTGGATGTCAAAATCAAACCCTGTGCAGGGTTTCCAAGACTGCGTACCTTTACAAGAGCAGACAGCTTCATCTTTCTCCTGCAGAGCGGCCAGTGGGTTTGAACTGTCAACCCTGTAGTTAGCAAGCCAGTGCTTATTCTACAGTGCCACCAGGGCTCCATAGAGTCTGATTCAGGGGTCTATAATCTACAACCAGATCCACTCATTGATGTAGCTGTTTTTACGCCTCAATAGTAGAAGACTTGAGTAGCTGTGATGGACAGTATGCTACAAAGCCTAAGTCATTTATAGAAAAAGGCTCTGTTGGAGAGGAATGTTTTCATGGGAACTAGCACACTGCCTACACTTTGTGCCCAGTGGATGGAAGGCTGCTGACTTGATTTTCTGGTTGTCAGAGAGTGTGCTTGTCTTAACTGTAGTGTATTCTGTTCACTTCTTCATCTTCTTAGAGCCACTTCTACTCTCCAGGTATCTCTGCGGATGAGCCAGACGGCGGAGCTGTCCTGTCTGCTTCCAATGGCCGACTCAGATTTCCCACCCAGAGCAAGTACCACGGTAAGGGAGGTAAATATCTGCATTCTTGATGGGCTGGGAGTTTAATTTTGGTGAAGTGTGATTACTCAAAAATTTCACTATGGCTAACTCTGTCTTTGCCTGCTTCACAGGAATTCACAGCGAATCACAGCAGTCTAAATGAAGACTATGCTGGGGTAACGGATTTGGATTATTACGTGGATGGCGATACCTTACTATGTTCCTTGGGGGAGGTCAGAAAATTCTCCCAGTTATTTGTGCCCATTGCTTACACTTTAATCTGTGTCTGTGGCCTATTGGGAAATATTTTAGTGGTGATCACCTTTGCTTGTTATAAGAAAGCTAAGTCTATGACAGACGTCTATCTCCTGAACATGGCCATCGCGGACATGCTGTTTGTTCTGACTCTGCCCTTCTGGGCAGTGAGCCACGCTAGGGCGGCATGGTCTTTTAGCAATGCCATGTGCAAACTGATGAAAGGCATCTACGCCATCAACTTCAACTGTGGGATGCTGCTCTTGACCTGCATCAGCATGGACCGTTACATTGCGATTGTGCAAGCAACCAAATCTTTCAGGTTCCGGTCCCAAACACTAGCGCACAACAAGGTCATCTGCCTGGTGGTGTGGTTGGTCTCCATCGGTATATCCTGCTCCACATTCATCTTCAATCAGAAGTACAGCATCCAAGGCGTCCATGTCTGTGAACCCAAGTACCAAGGTGTCATGGAGCCCATCAGGTGGAAGCTGCTGATGTTGGGACTACAGCTGCTCTTTGGTTTCTTCATCCCGCTGGTCTTTATGGTATTCTGCTACATGTTTATCGTCAAAACGCTCTTGAGGGCTCAGAATTCCAAACGGCACAAGGCCATCCGAGTGATCCTAGTGGTTGTTCTTGTGTTCCTGGTTTGCCAGACCCCCCATAACATGGTACTTCTTGTGACTGCAGCCAACTTGGGCAGCATGAACCGTTCCTGCAGCAGTGAGAAGCTCATAGCCTACACTAAAACCATCACGGAGGTCCTGGCTTTTCTGCACTGCTGTCTGAACCCGGTGCTCTATGCCTTCATTGGCCAGAAGTTCCGGAACTACTTCCTGAAGATTGTAAAGGACCTGTGGTGTGTGAGAAGGAAGCAGCACGCCAGCAGCTTCTCCTGCTCCCGGATGTACTTGGAGAGCGCTGTGTCCAGACAGACCAGCGAGACAGCGGACAATGAGAATGTGTCGTCCTTCACCATGTGACAGGCACCTGAATCGTCTGGGCCAAATGCATATGGGGGTGGGGGTATTCAGCAAAACTAAGGGGATGTCTCTACTTCAGGAGTGAGTGTGGTGGACCGTTTCCTCTACGTGGCTCCCCGACGACCCTACAAGAGGATGCTCTATTTCTCTGACCTTCCACAAGACAGACTGAAAAATGCTGAACACCAGCGAGTCCTTTACAAGTCTGAAAAGTTGTAGAATTACTCACAAAGCAGTCGTCAGCCACGGTGACTTATCATCCTAGCACAAACTGAAAACATGAGCAGGAAAAGCAAGCAAACATACAGAATTCCTCACCTCACTCCGTTTAGGAAAAAAACAATTTTTAAAAAGTGAAATGCTTTTACTCATGAAAAGTTTAGCAAAATGTGTAATGGGCTGGCTTCTTGTGTCTCCTGTCTCTCGGGGCACTCCGCAAATGTGTGATGGTAAATTTTCAGAAGCAGCAGCTTTGGGGCACAGAGTGTGGAGAACCTGGGATTGGGGGAGGAAAGGGGGCTGACTGGAATGGTGGCTATCATGATTCTGGTTGTCATGACCCTCAGAAAAGCAGGAATACGCAGTGCTTCCCCAGTGTGTGCTGTCTCCCATCAAAGTCTGATAGACGGGCCGACCGTGGCCTTTAGTTCTTAGAGGTGTCCCTGGTGTCTGTAGAGGTTTCATGATACAGCAAGAACTTAGTAAACATTTAGCAAATCATAGCAAAGTTTTTATTAGAGATTTCAGTGCAGGTCAAAGTGTTAGGTGTTTTAATTTTATTTTTAATTAATAGAACAGCCTTTACAAGAAGAAGAGTGAAACTTTTTAGAAAGAGGTTTGGTTCATTCCCATCATAGACTTGGAGGAGTGTGTGCAGCTGAGGATTTCCGGTTATGGGGGACTTCCAGCTAAGGCTCAGTGGTAAGTGATGGCTGTTAATAAAAAAGTTGGCAGTTTGAACCCACCAGCTGCTCCGTGGGAGAAAGATGAGGCTGTGTACTTCTGTAAAGATTTGCCTTGGGAACCTCATTTCAGGGGCAGGGAACCTTTTTTCTGCTAAAATGTATAACATCATTCACAGTCCATACAGAATGATCCCCTTCAGAATTAACCTCTATATTTGGTCAAATCATGAACTAACTCACCCCTAATGCGATGGTTGGAACTGTAGTTGCCTTAGCAGGGTCAGACCCAATGCTGTTGCGGGTGGGACATTCCTTACCCCTGCCTTATGGGGTAGTTTCTACTCTGTCCTTGAGGGTTGCTGTGAGTCCAAAAACACTCAGTGGCAATGAGTTTGGTTTGGGAGTTTCAGTCAGCCAGAGAAATGATGACTTTGGGTGGTTTTATCCAAGATTTAGGTCAGTTAAAGAATCCCATTTTAATAGTTCTCTTCAGCTTCATAGGAAATTTTCAATATTCATAGTTTTAGAGTTCTGGTGTGGCGCTGCAGGTTAATGCGCTGGACCACAAGGTCACTTTGAGACACAAGGTCGGCAGTTCAAGCTCACCAGCTGCTCCTTGGAAACCCTATACAGGGTTGCTATGGGTCAGAACCAGCTCAATGACACTTAACAACATGTAAATACATGACCCTAAGTGGGGAAATGCCAATGCTTATCCCAAAATACAAGCACACATTACAAAAGTACAATAGGAATTTCAAAACCACTGGCAAGTTTCCTTCTGACAAATATGCTATTTGGAACCTGGCACATTCACTGTGTCTCCATGCAAAGCAAAACCAGATTTGGTTTGGGTTTTACAAAATCAAGCTGTTTAGTCTGTGGAGAAAGAGTGTACCGGAACCCAGCGTGCAGCCCTCTGGAGTGTGACGTTTGGTGCCTCTATCGTTGGCAAGCTGTCACATTCGACTCAGATCCAGAGACAGAGCAGGCTCACAGATACCTCTTGAGGGTCTGTTTGAGGATGGACTCCGAAGCCTCTCCCACTTGGCACCAGAGGGGCATGGGAACCAGTGACACTGTGAGGGTCGGGACTTAATGGGACCCCTTTGTTTTTCTGGGCTCACAAGTCAGGCTGTTTCTTACCACCTTTCTATCAATCATTTTAGTGCCAAACATTTACGTTTCCCTCTGGGACATGCTCCCACCTTTCTTGGTTCTGGAGTTCACAGGTTTGACTGTACTGTGTGTCATTTAAATCTTTAGACCCAAGAAGCTTGTAATTGTAGCAACAACCCTTACAGAATGTCAGCCACAATGAATAAAGCAGGTTCTCAAATGGGTGGCATACTGTCTTTCTTCTTAGGTGTGGGATGCTGACTAGGGAGGGACTCAGGATGGGGCCATGCTGACCCCTCAGGAGACACTGAGCAGGTGACTGGGCAGCCCTGGTTTCCAAGCTCCAGGCAGCCAGAAAATGGGGGTTTGCACTGATTTGGGTGGGAGTGGGCTGGTTTTCTAGGCGCTCGCTATGGATCAGAACCGACTCGATGGCACTTAACAACAAGGAGCCCTAGTGGCACAATGGGTTAAACACTGGACTGTTAACTGAAAGTTTCGTGGTTCTAACCCACCAACTGCTTCTTGGGAGAAAGATGAGGCTGTTGGTTCCCATAAAGATTTGCCACCTTGGAAACCCTGCGGAGGGTCGCACCCAGCCCCACAAGGTTGCTGTAAGTCCGTGTGGACTCCACAGCAGCAGCGGTTTCCACGTAGACCTGCCATTAGTACCAATGCTTGGCATGGATTTTATCTTTCCATTTCCCTAGCAATCCTACCAGGTGGGGTCTGGCAGCTGCTGCTAATTGTGAGTGATGGAAACCTGTTCAGGGACACGCAGCTGCTGGGCAATGACTAGGACCCAGGTAGTTTGCCTTTATGAAGTGATAATGGTTAAAGTGCTCAACTCCTAAGGGAAACGTCGGCGGTTCGAATCCGCCAGCCGCTCTGAGGGAGAACGATGTGGTAGTCGACTTCATAGAGATTGACAGCCTCCCAAAACCTGAGGATGTCGCTGTGAGTCAGAACCGGCTCGATGGCAGCAGGCTTGGTTTGTTGAACCTGCAGTGTGAATAGATGAAGGAGCCCACCTCTTCCCACTAGAATGAGGTTAAAGATACGTCCTGAAGTGGTTGGGCCTTCCTCACCTCACCCAAAGCCGGGCCAGGCAGGGTGTTGTTACTAACTGGACACTCAGGAGCTCTGGTAGCATAGTGGTTACGAATCGGGCTGTGAGTCACAAGGCCAGCAGTTTGAAACTACCAGTTGTTCCGCAGGAGAAAGATGAATCCTTCCCTACTCCACCGCACAGAACCACCACCACCCCCAGGTCTCTATAGCAAGGGCACGCCTGCCCCCTGGTGGACGCAGGCTGCACTCACTCTCGCGAAACAAATGCGAAATGAGAACAGTAAAGAAAATAATTTAAAAAACCAACTACACAGAATGAATATATACCTACTCTTTTTCTCTGTTTTTGCAAATGTATAAATAATTTATTATGATACCATTTCATACATCACTATCACGCTCTCCTTCTCCCAGCCCTGAAAGCAGAGTGTTTTATTGTAATTTATTCTAACGATATTTCACTGAACCATAGACAAAAAAGAGGTGCTTCGTTATTGTTGTTAGGTGCCATCGAGTCGGTACCGACTCACAGCTACTCTACTATGCACAACAGAACGAAATACTGGCCGGTCCTGGGACTGTTGCCACACTTGGCCAATCCATCTCGCTGGGGGTCTTCTTCCTTTTTTTCTCTGACCCTCCATCTTACCAAACATGATATCCTTCTTCAGTGACTCGTCCTGGAGATGAGAGATGAAGTTTGGCCATCCTGGCCTCAAAGGAGCACTCTGGCTGCACTTCTCCCAAAACAGATCTATTGGTTTTATGGGCAGCCCATGGCACTTTCAATATTCTCCTCCAACACCATAACTCAAAAGTATCAATTCTTCTACGGTCTTCCTTATTCACTGTCCAACTTTTGCATACATATGAGGTTATTGAAAATACCATGGCTTGGGTCAGACGCACCTTAGTCCTCAAGCTGACATCTTTGCTCTTCAACACTTTAAAAAGGTCTTATACAGCAGATTTGCCTAATATAATACATCGTCTGATCTCTTGACTGCTGCTTCCACCTACTCTTTTTTTAAAATGGTGTCAAATTCTTGGAAATATTAATTTGCATATCTGACTGAAATATTGCTGCAGCTAAATTTTTTCTGTTGCCTTTAATCTTCGAATTGTAAGGGGGGTCCTCATGTAGTTTATTGTAGTTGGCGTTAAGTCTTTGTAGTATGACAAACTAGAGTTTGGTTTTCATGAATTTGCCTGTTTGTTGTTGCTACTATAGCTTTTGGTCAGAGCACATATGAATGCATATGGATGCATGGATATTAGTGTCTATACACCTGCAGGGGTCCTGGTGTGGCTCTGTAGGATCGGTACTGGACTGTTGACCACAAGGTCAGTGGTTCATACTTACCAGCTGCTCCTTGGAAACCCTATATAGGGTCACTATGAATCAGAACTGACTCAACAGCACTTAACAACAGTAATTTTAGCAGGATTTAGTAAGATTCTATAACTAATATGAAAGAGATTTTAAAAAGGAAAATATAAGCTTATTCACCAAAATTTTATTATAGAGGTCTAATATGAAGGAATCTAATATCCATTTCTGGTGGTGCTGCAGGGCAAGCACTGGACTGCTAACCATAAAATCAGAAGTTCAAAGCCACCTCTGGAGAAAGATAAGGTTTTCTGCTCCCATGAATTTGAAGCCTTAGAAACACTGTATAGGATTACTATGAGTCCAAAGTAACTTGATGGGAATGGATTTTGGTTTAGTATTTGAAGGGAGACCCTAAAATTCCCAGCTTTCTAGATTCTGGGCATGTTAGCATTTGCTTTCCTCTAATTGTTAGGCCTGGTGGTCCTGGGAGATCAGCACTGGACTGTGAACCACAATGTCGGCAGTTCAAATCCACCAGATACTCCTTAGAAACCCTATACAGAGTCGCTATG